GCAACTAATCTTATTGCAAGCAAAATCAAGCACTAATTCTTCTACTAATCTTTTATCAGAAATTCAAAATGGAAGGGTATAAAATAGGAATATGTTAGACACCTACTTGTAGATTTATTACTTAAATTGTGACTTATATGTAAATTTTAAGAATCTATCTATGCAGGTGTATAATGGTAAAATTCATTCTTAAAATTTAATAATTATTTATTGACTAGATTTGATAAAAAAATATCTAAATACTTTTTTAAAAAAAAAAAGTAAAAAGAAATAAAAGAGAAATATAATTAAATTATCTGATTTTTTATTCTCAATTTTTTTTCCCTCTACCCAAATCAATGTCGGAAGAACATTTCTAACCATAAAAGTCATGATTGCATGAAAGTAATAAAATATATTCGTGATAAAAGATAATATTTTAAATTGATAAAAGAAATAATTATTTTGTATTTAGGAAATATAATTTCATCTTCCTAATTATTATAATTTTTCAAGTCTAGTTATTTCTCTAATTATGTGTTTGTCGTTCGAGAATCTATCTAATGCTATTGTGATTGAAAACAAAACAAAATTTAAATCAAAAGATGTGAACAAAGGGCACAAGTAAATTTTTATTAACTTAATCCTTTCAATCATCATTTTTCTTCAAAACAAACAAATTCCATTTACATTTATCCAAAATCAAAATCTTGAGACAAACAAATGTCATAAACAGGTATAAAGAGGTTTCATTAATTCAGAAGGAAGATAGATTACAGTAGAATTTACAAATAAATGTCAACACCCATGATATTATTAGTTAGAAAGTTATCTTCTATAACACAAGATTATGTAGAAGAAGATGAATGAGGTCATCTTTGAAAATGGATATTATTGTGATATCTGTACTACCCGAAATTAAATTGTAATATTCAAAATTTATGTATAAAATTTATTTTTTAATTTTATAAATTATTATTTTATGTAAAATTAGAAAAAAAAAATATGTGGATGATGAAATTAAAAATAATTTTGGAAGAAATTGGTGAAAATTTGGATTATATGGGTGTTTTTGAAAAAAAAATCAGAAACTGAAGGTCAAAATGCAATTTAAAAAAAATGAGCTATGTAGGACGCCCAGTCAGCAGCCCCGACGAACTGAAGCACGCAGCATGGCAAGGCACGCTGATATGGTGCCACGCTGTCGATCCGCATGCCCGCGATCGAACAGTGTAGATTTGTTTCCGCGCCCGTGGATGGTTCAGATCTGTTTTCTCCTCAGACACGATCGGACGGTCGCGATTAAACATAATGAATGATCCAAATCCACTTTTTACATAAACGCGATCAGATGATTCAGATCAAATTGCGAAGAACGGTACAGATTCACTTCATATTTAAACGTGATCAGACGATTCAGATCAAACGCGATCGGACAGTCCATATCAAACGCGATCGGACGGTCCAGATTAAAAAAAGATATATATAAATACCTCTCTTAATACCAAATCCTAACCCTAGCCGTCAGACCTCCCGTCGGAGAAGAAGAGCCATTTACCTGGAAGGGAGCCGACCGTCACCTGCTGCCGCCGGAGCCACTCTCGACTACTAAAAGAGGTAAAATTTTTCCCATTTGCTCGAAATTCAAGAGCAAAATGACTGACGGATGAGCCGAAAATTGCGGGTAAATCTCGACAGCGCCGCCGCGGAAAAAATCAAAAAAGCCTCCGATTAGACCCCTCCCGATTTCCGTTTCGTGCAATTTTTCTACCATTGTAATTACCATTTTTTTTCTACAGGTTGACCGAATCAAAATATCCAACCACGAAGGTGAGCCGGCGGAGCCGTCGCACCAGAAACTCTGTCGTCGATAAGCCTCTATTTTTCAATTTTTTCGGCTAACTGAGACTTCTTAGTGTGTTTTCTCACAAAGAGGAGTACAAAATCGGGCAAAATCAACTGAAATTGGCCGAAAACGGCTAGCCTAAGGCAAACCACTACTGTGGGCGGCGGTGCCATCGCCGGAGCATGGCAGCATCGTCGTGCTGGAATTCCAAAATTGACCGAAAATGATTTCTAACACCGATTTTTTGGAGTATTTTTAGGGACCCGAAGACTGCCAATAGGCACAGCTGAAAATTTAGCATTTTAGATATCGATTCGAGTAAGAATCTCTCATCTTATTCCTTATTATGGAATTGAAGTTTAATTATGAATAATATGGTATTTTGCGTAATTTAAAAATATCGATAATTAAATGTTACTAATGGAGTCGAAACCGGTTATTTATTACTGTTTGTCATGTTTTACTGATTGATTGATTTCATAGTTTCGAATGTATGATAATACACAAGAATTGGTATGATAATTCAATTGTGTTTTCTTGATGCATGAATTACTTGTTTTACGTGATTTATAGTTAATTGGGGAATTAGAAATCAAAGGTAAATGAAAAATCATTTGATTAAGTGAATAGATGAATGACAGTCTTACTGGATATTCTGAGAGATAGTGGACGAACCAGGTACATAGAGAATCTTACCATGAACGTTGCCTCATACCGGATAGGATATGGAGACGGCCTGTTTCACCTTCATACCGGACATGATATTGAGGGATGATATTTCTTGGCAGTCATACCGGACGAGGCATGAGGGCGGTTCGTTAGTTGAAAATGTTGAAAAATGGTTCACGCGTAGTGGAGACATCCTTATGGACCCCTATGGATACTAGTAGGCCGATGAATGAGAAATTTATTGTTCCGACTGATTGAATATGAAACTATAATATTGTTTACGTTATTGACTTTATAGATCGATTTTGAAAATCTCCCTACGGTAAGTGTACAATAAATAATTTTATTTTTATAAATAAATTTTACTTAAATTAAGAGTTCCATTAATTATTTTTATAATTTTTACCAACCTTCATTTTTGTATTAGTGAGTAGCGCGATATTCTTATTAGGCTAGTGTAGCTCACTCTTTCATTAACCATTTCAGATAAAGAGAACCAAGATCTAGAATCCGATCCATAAGAGAGTTGCGAATAGGCCGTTCAGTTTGTTTACTTTTCTTGTATTTCTTTGATTATTAGTTATTTTTTTAGAATGGTCATTCTCGTAATCCTATTAGATATCCTGAATTATTGTGTAAGGAATATAAACTCTAATTTATTGTTTCGCTTCTGCATTCAATTCATAATATATTTCTTTTCAAGTTCACGAGCTGTTACAATATCTCTTCAAGCACTCATCTTATTCGATTAATAATGAAATATTAGATAGGTCACAACAATGCATGAACTTATTTCATTGACAACCTATCTAAATTCCCTTACGTGAGATGGAAAGCTCTTCCTTGGGCCTTGCTCAAGCTTAATATCAACAACTTTGCTCGAGTTGACCTTAGATATGCAATTATTGGTGGCCTTATTAATGGCAAACATAGTCACTAGGTTGTTGGCTTTATATGCAACCTCAATATCAACACCTCCTCGTCAGCTAAAAGTTCATGGAGTTTTAGAAGGACTAAAGTTCGCCCAGAGAGAAGGAACTGAAAAGTTTATAGTTCATATCGATTTGTTATATGTCAAGCAACTTCTACAAAATCCAATTTGAATGCCCAAATTAATGCTCTTCCTAATTTAAATTGGGATATCTAGATATTAGATGTCCATAGAGAAAACAACATTTATTCTAATTATTTGGCTCAGTTGATCTTACCATACTCCGATAAGATATACTAAGATCTTACAATCACCGGAGGGCTTTCATGCTTCCCTCTACCTTAATCACTAAGATCTGTTTAATCGAGCATTAGTTAAGTTGTTATTTCAAAATTTTAAATTATAGTTCAATAAGGATGATATTAATATTTAATAATTTCTAAATATATTGTAGATATTAAAAAAATTCAAAAAAAAAAAAAACATTCAGACTATGCAATAAAATCAAGTCCAAAACACATTTAATGGAGTGGCATGTAACTCATATATATAATATATATGCTGCCGATTACTATCTCAACAAGAAATTTTTAGCAGTGTATATATGCTGCTTTCTAAACCTTGTCTCGGGTGCTAAAAGTTTCTTGATAAATCTTTACTTGTTTCTTTTTAATAGTTTTTTCTTCAATCTCATAGATTTTGTTTGAAATAAATCTACCCAGTGCTTCGATAATCACACACAATTAATTAAAAATATTGATTTAATACACTTACAAATTATTATACAATTATCCAAATATAATAATTTTGGACTCTATAAGAAGACTTTGCCGGAAATCTTTTAAAAGAGTTCAATCATCTACATTTTCAGTCCATACTATGAAAAATACAGATCTTCAAAATTGCATGATTATCAAATTCCTATTGTTTTTTTTTTTTTTTTTCAGTATTCATTTCTTTCTCTGCAAAAAATTATCGATGACTCTCTAGAAAGACAATGTACACAACCTTTCTTAGTCTACTTTTGTGCATAATGTTGTCAACAAACACCAAATATATATATATATATATTAGTTTATCATTGTCCAAATCTGAAAAAAACTAAGATTTATGACTATATATATATATATATATAAATTCTCGTACATAATTTAATACAAATAAATCACAATCATTTATCTTTTCAATACTATTTATAATACATTTGGAATAAAAATTTTAATCCCGCAACTATCAAAAATTATACTCATATTATTTAATAATGATGTATGACTTGAATCCATATCGAGGTTAATACTGAAATATTTTTCGATGGGAGATTGAAATATCACAGTATGTGGAAATCTATTTAAGAAAAAACACATGTAGGTGGGATATGGAGTTCAACCCCCTCGGTGAGGGGAGGGAATCAGATCCTTATAAGAAAGCAATTTAGGCTATGTGTTTGGAACAGATTAATAAATGCGATATAGAATTTATTTGCAAATCCAAACTTAAAAAGGCTAATTAGGAATAGGTGTAAATTGTGCTGAAGCGATTAAGAAACTGAGTATATAGAAAGATTGAAAAATAATAGAATTTGGAATTTATTGTTTGATTTCCACATGGAATTTCACATTTGTAAATTTACAGAAGATACATTATATGTCAGTTTTAGATTTATTTCAAACGAGTGCAGTGAGATATATTTACATTAATTAAGAACATAGATAAAAAGACTTGAGAGGAGATGAAGAGCAATTACCGGTTCTGTACAGTACTCAAAGATGAGTGCAGGAGCAGCAACTTATTCCAACAAATTGACACGAAAACTCGATATTTTTGGTTAGCAGCATCAAAGAGGATTTCAGTCGATCCCTCTACCAATGTTAAAATTAAAATTGCACAGTATTTTTGGCTTCTCATAACACTTTCAATCTCCCTCAAACACTCGCTCAATTCCTTGTTTGTTTGTTGCCTAACAAGCTACGATCATAGCACCTGAATCCTCCATTAACTTTCCATTCATTTCTTTCTCTTCATCTTCATCCGCTTCCCACATAAAGTGTGCATATGATCCCAGCACCATACTGAACATGGTTTATATTCAACACAAATTTAATTAACAAATGAGTTGAAAACAAAAAAAAAAAAAACAAACGAAATACATGCACACCAATCATCAGGAGAAGCACAAACAGCTTGATCGAAGTAACTTCTGGCTCTCTTCTCATCTCCCTGCGTTTCCCATATAAGTCCCCCATACAAACTCAACACTTCTCCGTCTCCGGGGCTCGCCAGTATCGCCCTCTCGTAATACTCTTCTGCTCTCTCTGCATCTTTCTCTACCTATTTATTCAAATTAATCAGTCACATCATTTTATTAACTAGCCGACTATAATTTTTACAGAGGTTTTCGTGTATATATTTACCTCGTATAAGAATTTGCCGTAGTTTCTCAACAAAAGTGAATTCTCGGAGTTCGACTTCAATATTTCTCGATAGTATTCCCCAATCTGCTTCCTCTTGTCTCCATTTTCTCCCTCTGTTTTACCCTTTCGTTTACATCCATCGTCACCAGAACCGCTGCCTAATCCCTCTCCCGGAAAGCCCAGTTCGTCCGACGGAATACCGCTCTCCGGCCAGATTCCAGCGGAGCCGACATCATTCCTTCCGAGGATCAGCGATCCGTAATCATCAACCTCATCCTCCTCGACTTCCGGAATTTTATCCGAAAAAGATCGGAAACCCATCCCTCCCATCTTCATGGACACGGAGAGACCATTCCTCTCCGATCTGACGATGTCGTTTTCCGACAGCGTTCGCCGGATTCCCGTGGGCCGAGAATGATCGGTTTTAAACCGGAGACGACTGTTCGGAGAGTTGATGGGAGAGAACGGTCCGGTGGTTGAGGGTTGAAGATAGAAAGAAGCCCTGGGCGAAGCAGAGACCAGGGTATGGTGAACCGGCAAGGAGCCGCTTCTCAAGAGAATAGCTTTCATGGCTGCTTGGCTACCCTTTTTATTGGTTTGTTTTAGTTGGAGAAACCAAGAAGCCCCTAAGCGGATGTGCATATATATACTTAAACTTTGACCGTTAGATGCGCTGACTTTCTTGTAGACTGATAACAGATTAGAGACACGTGTTAAACAGTTTTGACGGTAGATTTATGGTGGAGGGTTGGATAAGCAGTTGAGAGAGAAACGCGTGTGCAAACTGCACGGGAGTGGTCGGCGAAAGTAACGATCTTCTCTCTCCTGTGAGAGTTGGCGCCGCAAGTCACGAGAGCAGCGTGATCCAGTTACGACGTCGTGCCACGTGGACAAAAAATGCGAGTAAATAATTTTCTCTTATATATAAATATTTTTACTTCAAAATAATATTACTTCGTTAACAATAATGTCAATATTAATTTTGAAGATATAATTTTTTCAAAAAAAATGTTATATCATTATTAAAGTAGTATATTTTGTAGTAATAATAATTTGATTGGGGCATCTGGTTAACGTACCACATGGGCTCCACGTGTGCTTCCTCGTTCATGCTTTAATTTAAACACTCTAAAATAATAATATATATATATATTTTTTTTTGTATGAAATTAATTATTTATATTTACTTCATTTATTTAAGAAAATAATAAAAATAACCTCCCATACAAAAATAAATTATTGAAAGAGAAGCAGAGCGGTTAGGGACAAAGGGAGGCAATGTCAATTTACTGTCGGTACGTGTAAATAAATCTAAAAAATTTTCTTATCAGGAACACATACGTCCATGAGTTTGAACAAAAAAATTTCCAAGTTATTTCCATTTTTTTAAAAATTTTAAATTGTTACCCATTTTATTTGATGTTCGTGTCCTAAGTAGTCATAGGTTATTATGATAAGACCATAAGTAGATAAAAAAAAAAATATTTAAGAATAATTTTATAGAATTATAAAGTCATTAAGTAGTGTTTTAACTTTTTTAATATATTGAAAAAAAATTTATAAGATAATTCTGCAAAAAAAATACTAAATATCTAAAATTATTATAAATGTATTCGATTAGTTTGAAATATATTGAAGTATTTAAAAATATGTTAAATGAAACAATTACAACATGTATATGAGAATATCCACCAACACACCTAAAAGTACTTAACATAGAAATAGACCTATTTATTTAAAATGCACAAAAAATTATGACCCATTATTTATACTAAAATTATCACCCAATTTGTAGTGTGATACTACCATATTTAATTACGAAAAATTTGTCACTGTAAAGTTAATATTTCAACTTGAATGCGATCCTAAAATTATTTTAATTCAAAAATTCTTTTTTAAAAATTTGACCAATGATAGAATTTTTATTGTTTTGATTATGTCTTTTGTTGTGCGGTTTGAGTTTATGCATCATGATAGTTGAATATTGTTACTAGTTTAAAATCTCTACATTTAGATTCATATTTATTATTATTATTTTTTATAAAAAAAATAATTTATTCCTTTTTACCTTATGATACAATACCATATACAATAAATTTTTTTTTCTTTATGAATGTATGGTTAAATATTTTTAATTTGATCTTATATATATTTATTATAAATATATAAAGAATTCAAATTTTCATCGATTTTGAGTAAAATATTATTTTGTAAGAATTTTTATTATGTGAGACTCGTGTCAATTAAAAAAAATTATAAGTTTCACATAAAAGTAAAAAGAATTTTTTTATTATTTTAATTAATATAAGATAGAAAAAAATTATGAAATAAGGAATGTAATATTGATATAGGTTACAAACTCTATATTTATGAATAGATAATTAAAATTTTATAGGTGACTATTTTTCATAAAAAATAAAAAGATTACGTAGACTCTAAACAAATTTAATGGAACACTTTTGTATATCTTATAAAAAAATTGTGTTTTAAGGATTACATTTCTACTTATAAATATAAAAATCAATTCATACTCCCAATGAGATATGAGAAAAAGAACCAATTGTATGTTAACATAATTATCATGGAATTAGTTTATCTCTTAATTTAGAAATTCTATAAAGAAATTCAAAATTTTACTGCAAATTTTTAGCAATTTATATCTTCTTTGACCGCATCATTCGATCATAGAAAGTCTGTAAATGAATCCCAAAATTGCTTAAGTAAATATAGTATTTGGTTTATACATAATCTTGACCCCCACCCCACCCCCCAAAAAAAAAAAAAAAAAGAAAAAAAGAATAGAACGTGTGAAATACCGAGATCCGGATCCGAAATTAATTTATTACCCGAAATGGTACACGTCAGCATTAGCATTGGATGATGAAGACAAAAAATAAATAAATAATTAAAAAGTAATTTAATGAGAAGTGAACATCATCGTCATCACCTTACCTCTTCTCTCCCAGCTTCTTCTCGTTGCAGAGAGAGACAGAGTGTTTATTTACCCATTTTTTTTTTTTTTTTAAATTTTTACTTAATTATAAAATTATTACACCCCACACGCACTAAATCCTAATCCAAGTTTTTGGAGATCTCTCAATTTTTTTTTTTTTTTTTTTAATGAATCTGTCTTAAATTTCTTCAACTGTTTCTATGAAAATCTAATCTAATTTTTCTGTTTGCCATCTATGTAAACATGTTATAATGATTATCCTATCATATTCTAATCCTGTAGATCTATTGCCTTATTTCCCTCTTTAATTTCTTCCATATCTTTTTATTTTCTTCCTCTTTCTTCTTTGTACTCTTGAGTTTTGCCTTTTAATTTCAACCACGATTTCATCTTCGGAGCCTATAAATTTCGGTGTTGGATGTGTGTTTGAGTCATCAAACTCTCAAATCTTCAACATTTTGCATTCTTTTTTTCCGAGCTTCTGATTAAATTCAGAGGATTGGAGTTACTACGTATTCAAACCCTCGTTCTTTTTCCTTTTACATCACTCAGTTTTACAGACCACCTAGGGTTTCTGTTTTTTTTTTTTTTAATAATTCTGGGATGGACTGTGGTCGGGATTCGGGTGGGAATGTAGTCCATGTGATCACTGGGAACATGCCAGCTGAGAATTGGATTCCAAATCCCAACGATCAAGTTTGGGCCACTGAAGAGGACTACCGCGTTTGGACCAACCCGGAGGCGTCAAACGACAACGGTTCCAGCTCTAACTACGACCAACGCCCCTCCCAAACACGGTCTGGAAGCGAGCAGCCGCCGAGCAAGAAGAACAGGAACTCCCAGGAAGCAAATTCCTCTACCAGCAACCGGGCCAAGGCAATCGGTAAGATGTTCTTCAAAACGAAGCTGTGCTGCAAGTTCAGAGCAGGGACGTGCCCTTACGTCACCAACTGCAATTTCGCCCACAGTGTGGAGGAGCTACGGCGGCCCCCTGCTAACTGGCAGGAAATCGTGGCTGCGCATGAGGAGGAGAAAGCTGCGGCTGCGGCAGCTGGGAATCCCGTGGCGGAGCCCAGGGAGGAATTTCAGATTCCTTCACTGGGATCTTCTGCATTTGGAGGTGAAATGGGGAGGTCGTATAAGGGTCGACATTGCAAAAAGTTTTACACAGAAGAGGGATGCCCCTATGGGGACAACTGTACGTTCTTGCATGATGAGCAGTCCAAGAATCGGGAAAGCGTTGCTATAAGCTTGGGGCCGGGTGGATATGGAGGTTCTGCTGGGAGTGGGAGTGGTGCTGCAGTGGCTACTGCCGCTGCCGGTGCCGGTGCCGGTGCTGGTGCTGGTGCCGGTGCTGGTGCCGGTGCTGGTGCTGGTGCTGGTGCCGGTGCTGGTGCTGGTGCTGGTGCTGGTGCTGCCCAAAATGTCAAGCCTTCCAACTGGAAGACAAGGATATGTAACAAGTGGGAAATCACGGGGTATTGTCCCTTCGGAAATAAGTGCCATTTTGCTCATGGCGCTGCAGGTATGATTGCTTTTTCATTTCTGCTTTTGTTCTCTAGTTTTTAACTGGTCAGATAGTCTAGCTATGCTTTGAATTTTCTTGTGAATTTGTGTAAGAGGAAGCCGAGTACTTGTTTTTGAATTATAGATGCTTCAGTTTAAAGAAGATAAAATAGTAGTTTGATCTTTTAGGTTTAGGATAGGAGAGGACTTTCCCAATCTGGAGGTTTACAGTCCCCTTCTTGATTGACATGTAAAAGAAACCCATACAATTTAGGAATAAAGTTATCTCTTTGCTTTATCATGCTAAAATTCCTATGGAGCCTCCAGTGAAAAATGCGATATAGGTCTTGAAACTTGTACGGGAACCTCTAGTTAGAAGCTCTTGGATCCCGAGATGCAATCAACAAGAGATGTATGTCTACCCTATTGAATTTGCAAATGCTTTCAGTTGTCTGGCTGGAAACTTTTGCACTTTTGCCATCTCTAGCTACTACATCTTATGCTTTTGATCTTTCTATATTCCACATTTAATGGTTTCCTAGCACATCCTACTTTATTTGTATACTACCATTTCTTTTTCCATATACATCAGGTTTGAAGGTGACTTTAAAGAAAAAGAAAGAAAATAATATATTTTAACATAGTTAGAACCAAAGGAATCACAAAGTATGTGAAATTAAAAGGTCCAGAAGTTCCTAGATCCTCATTGACAAAAATAGGATGCCCAATAAATAAAACGGTAAGACTATAGCTTTGATGATTGCCACTCCTTTGTTCTAAATACAGAATATCAGTCACTCAAATTTTTTGGAGAGAAGGAAATTATGACAATATTGTTTCATGAATCATCATATTCTAGTATTTTGTCCAGGATTGGCATGGTACTATTTAAGGCTGAAGTTTCATACACAGCTTTATGTTCATGAAACTAGGATGTATCTGATAATTTTTTGAGACAACTAGAATGTGTTAATCATACACATGTTTGGTTTAAGTCTCATTTAATGTCTACCTTGCTCATTCACTTAATTATTAAACCAATCTTTTTAAGTAGAACGGTATCAATATTCTCATATTGGTACTATCTCTACTTCTACCCCAAATTTCTCTAAGTAGGGAAAAAAAATTTACCTTTGAAGAATTTAAGGTGAGAGTGGGAGTTGTTATATCTAAAACTATTCCTTAACTTGATGGGTGATACTTTCCTCTTTTTATATATGGTATCGGTTCTAGTCAAACTGTACATTTCGTGTGTCCTTATTAGCAAGTTGTATTATAATTGATGCATCTGTCATATTATCAAGGAAGTGAATGAATTTCCATTTAAGAAAAAAAGAAAAAAAGAAGGAATAGGATAGGAATTGATGGAAGTTGAACCAAATTGAAAATAATAGTTATTTTTTACGCATTGCAGAAATTAATTTCTGGAAACTGCAATCACACCTTTTATATTGTGGCATTACCTTCTTCTCACCTTTCTTAAATGTTGAATGCAATCTTTCCTACTAAGCATGTGAGTTTTTGTGATTTGGTTTTGGTTACATTGTGAAAGTCACTAGCTAATCAACAAGCAACAAATAGAAGGAATGAAAATTAATAAATATGTTCAATTTTTTTTTTTTTCGAAAAGTAAGTATGTTTAAATTTAACATAAATTTTATACAAGCCATAACTTGTATAACTTCTAAAATATTTAGGAACTATGAAAATATAATTCACCATTAAATGTTGAAATTTTAAAATACAATTCAAGGACACAAGCTAAAACTAATAAAATTTTACAACTAAATTTTAAGTCTTTTAGACTTAATAGGAAACTCTTCAAGTATGTAAATCTTGTATCGAAATATTTTTTAGCTCAATATATTATATTTAAGTATCAGGTATACAAATATATTATTATGTTGGGCGGTACCCCTTTGGTGCCTTGTGCATAATAATATTTCACTTTTATTTCAAAAAAAAAAATATATATATATTATGTTTATAGTATATGAGAATATGTATCTAATGTACCAGATTAACAGTTTGGTTTCGGTGGTTTCAAATTTCAGCTTGGTTTCAATTATCTGCATTCTTTTAAAATGGCAAACCAATATTAAAAAGTAAAAAATCAGGTTTGGTATTTTTATGTTTTAATGAACACCTCTTACTAAACATGTCATTATTTAAGAACTGCACTAGTATCTCTCTCAAGCATTTCCTTTAGTTCCATTTATGACAGCAATAAAGCATTTGAAAGAAATTCATTATTGATTCTTTGCTTTTCAAGCAGGGAACATAAATGAAGAGGAGTTCACATCCAAATTAGTTTTACTGTCTCTTCTTGCATGTCTTATTTTCAATCACTTGGGCCTTCTGTTAGCATAAACAATACCCGGAAAACAAAATTCCTTTTTATTTAATACAATTTGGAGAAAAAATCAATCCATTAACCTATTTTCTCAACTATAATTTATTTTTTTTACAGTTTATTTCTATATTTCTAGTTAGCTTGAACCAAAGAAGACTCCAAAAGGTGAGAAATCAGTCCAGTCGAGTTTTTGCGTCATGCATCCTCTCCTAGTCTCTTTTATCTTCTAGGGGATTACCTGTTATAGGACTAAAATATTTTCAGTTTCTTTGATGATGTTCATTGAATGTGTGTGTAAATGTGTTTGCTGATTTGAACAGTTGTAGAGGTGCAACACGAGGGGTAACAAGGTGTTTATTGTCTGGTGAACCAGACACTATGTTGCATTTGTCCAATATAAAAGATGTTCTCGATTTGGAAAAACTGTTTTACAAGTTTTCATTAGTAGCATTTGGTCCATAAAAATTATAGCACTGACATTGTAAAAGAGTCTAATCCTGTGTTTGGTGGCATAAGGAGTAATCTAAGGAAAAAAAAAGTTATAATTTGAGGAACCATGGACTAACTTCTCCTTGAAATTCTTACCTCTCCTATTTTAACAACCAGATTTTACCATAGATAATATGCCTTGCATCTAGAAGATTGTGGGATTTGGCTCTCAATCTTTTCAACCTTTCCTGGGCAGTCAGTGGCTTCGTGGCTGATGAAATCTGGACTTAGGATGGCATATATGCTATCAGAGGTAGGAAAAAACCTCATATAACTCATTCCATTGGCTGCTGCTGTGTTGATGATCTGTACAACAGAGTTTTTGAGGACATTCTCTCTTCTTTTGTTAATATTGGAGATCATTGGTTCTGGACCTTGTGTTTTTTGTTTAGTAGAAGTCATTCAATCATGTCACAGGAGGATCTGGGAACCTTTATCGACATTTTGTCCTCTTCAGGATAGTTTTCTTCCATTTCTACAGGGGTGGCCCTTCCTTTGGGCCTCATTGATATATATTTTCTTTTCTCTGGAAAAGAGTTCCCTGAGCAATCCTTCTTTTCTTGAAAAGAACTAATTAATTTATAAATTACAAACAACTCTTGGAACCTTATTCTTCCCGTCCTATCTCTCTCTCAACAATGTCAGTGTCGGTGGCAATCCCTCTTGGCAGTCTCAGGCATCCATCATGTCAAGGTTTTTTTCTTTTTCTTTTTCTTTTTATTTTGCTTATCTATTTTATTAAATTTATTTTGATTATTTATATTTTGAGTACAATGGTTTTTTCAATCGTTATTAATTTAAATTTGAACTTATTTTTGAATTGTTAGTAATTGTTGGAAAGTACACTTTAATGTAGTTTACTAATTTATGTTTTAATAACATAATTTATTAATTAATCAATACATCAAATTAAATTGATTTTCTATTTAAAAGTATTTAGCACTGTAATTAACTCTAAAAACTATATAAATTAACATTTAACATCACAAAGGCATTAAAGTGACTGTAAGTTTGTTCTTTCGGGGGGAAAAAAGTGACTCTAAGTCTGATATTATATTTTAGCTTGTTTGGTAGTTAGCAAGCATAACAATACACAACGATTTCCCACCAATCCTATGCATATCAGATAAAATTTTATTCTCTCCA